GTTCTATAGTCAACTATAACAAATTTTCTACTCGATTTCATTATTCATAGACAAATAAGAAGAACTATATTCAAATTGAAACAATTTCGATAAATGTCAGTATAATATTATTTAACGTAAAATAAATGGTTGATAATTTTATGTAAATCGATATAATAATTAATATAAGGAAACAGAGCATTAACCATACGCTAGATTACATTAGCGTATGTCGTATATTAAAATCAATTCATTTGTTACAGTTTAACCAAACTTTTTGTTTAACCAAACAATTATGTCGATGTGGAAACGGAAGGCGATATTTTGTATGATTGAAACAACAACACAGCTTAGTAGTAGCTCTAGTTCTGCAAGCACTTATTGCGAAGTGGACAGCACTACAACAGACGATAGTTTATATGAAGATGATGGAGATAGTACATTATATTTTCCACTAATGCGATACTTATTTTCTGGGCGTAAACGGTATCGTGTGGAACAGTATTTAGAAATTGTGGAATCTTGGACAGAACAAGAATTTAAGGAACACATGCGATTGCCAAGACAAATAGTATTTCTACTTATTGGTAATTATGTACATTTACGTAAATAGTAGTAGTTTCACTCTTATATTCGATATTTATTTACTTTTAATGATAAATATAATTGATCTTACTAATTATTCTATTACAGCTGAATTTGAAACATCTGTGTTTATGCCAAATCATTTGTATGGGAGCAAACCGATTTCAGCAAAGCTGAGTATATTCATATTCCTGTGGTTTATGGCTAATACAGAGCCGATAAGAACAATATCAGATCGGTTTGATATTTCTATTTCCTCTGTATTCCGTATTATACGTCGTGTAATCGCTTGGATTTTGACTAAATTGGATGATGTGATTAAATGGCCGCAACAGCATAACATTTCGACAGTATGCGCAAGGTTTTTTATAAAAAAAGGAATTCGACGTGTTTTAGGAACGATTGATTGTACTCACATCCGTATTCAGAAACCTTTGGTAAACGAGATACCATACTGTAATCGTAAAAAATTTTTTTCCATTCACTTACAAGCTGTCGTTGACTCTGATATGCGATTTACGAACGTATATTGCGGTGAACCTGGATCCTTGCATGATGCTCGTGTATTAAGAAGGTCGACTTTGTATGAAATAGCGAATGAAGATAAAGAAATACTATTTCCTAATAATACATTTGTACTTGGTGATTCTGCGTATCCGTTGTTATCATGGCTTGTTCCACCATTTCGTGACAATGGTCACTTAACACCTCAACAAACAGAATTTAATTCTTTACATTCGTCTACTCGGATGGCAAGTGAAAAAGCATTTGGTATATTAAAAGCACGATTTCGTCGGATAAAATTTTTTTCGGAGTACAGAAATATGGAATTTATTACAAATATAGTAATAGCAGCGTGTATTCTGCACAACCTTTGTATAGATGAAAATGATAATTTTCAAATAAATGAAGAAAATTACGATCATGTAATTATGAATGAAAATATCAATGATGTTCGGATAGATCGCAGGATGCAATTATTTAATGAATTATTTCCTGAAGTGTAAAGTAATATAATTAATTTTAAGTAAGAAATACACAACAAATCTTATTTAATCACAATACTTAACAAAATCTTAACTTACTTAAGATTTATAATGTATTAAACGCTCTAGTAACGCCTGTATATAATAAAAATAAAATAGTTTCAGTTTTGTACGCATATTTTTTGGTTGCAATTATTTTATCACATCAAATGGAACTCTATAAACATTTTTAAATATACGCTCTATAACAATTATAAAAAAATTTTTAATAGAAACAAAACTTATGTAATATAAAAATGTCACATTAATAAACGTTTTCAGTTTTCAGTACTTTCGTTACAATCATCGTAAGCATCCGAATCACTTACAGAGTTGACAACAGACTGTTCTATATTCTCTTTATCTTTTAAAAGTCTGTGTAATAATTTACATTTTTCTCTTTCGATTGCAATTATTTCGTCGTGCTGACGATATTTGGCTTTTAGTTTATTGCTGGCTATCATCTTCTTTACTTCCAATTCTTTTTCTTGCATTTGGAGTTGCCGTTTTTTTAAATTCACCGCTTCTGTTTTTTTCTCTAGAAGTTTAGTAAGCCTAACATCTCGTTGTATTTGTCGGTTTTTTTCACTTTGCAAATGTTCAAGCCATTGTTTTTCCAATTGTAGCTTTGCTTTAGCATTATTGGATCCAGTTCCATGCAGTGGGCGAGCTCTTTTTTCATTCATGCTCGCTTTCGGATTGTTAATTTGTGGTATTCTTGCTTTTAAAACACTTGGATGGCATTCAGCAACAACTGGAACTTCTGACTGTATTTCTATAGTTTTAGTTTTCAAAACTGGATTAATTGTAGTTTTTTTTGGAAGGTTAGATGACCGAGTATAACCATTAATAGAGAAAGCCTCTTTGTCCTTGCCAAAAATCTCCTCCATTTGATCATAATACTCAAATGATATTGGGTTTCTTCCCGATTTTGCATTATTATCAACACATTCTTTATATTTTTTTATAAGTGTATTTATTTTCCACCTGACTTGATCACTCGACATCTGTTAGGAACAAATGAAAATTTATAAATTATAATATATATATATATAACAAAAATTTTTGTCTTATAACAAAAAATGGAAATAAAAAATATAAAACAACCAACAATCACGAATCAATAAATGTAGTCAATTTTAATAACAAAACTTGGTAGCTCTACTCAACTTTAAACATATCTACATGTTGTCACAGTCGAACGATAGAATTGAGATGAATAACACCATTTGCTTGGTTGATATCAAATAAGATTTTATAACATTTATGTTAATGCATAGCTGTGATTTTTTATTTATCGAGTTATGACTTTGATGACGATGCATGGGGAAATCATTGTTGGTTTAAAGTTCCTAAGGACACAGTTAACGATACATGTGAGTGACAATTGTTATTAATACAGGATGAATAATTTAAATTGAACTACCTATTTAATTTTGTATAAATTGTCCATATACAGTTAACAAGGTAATTAGATGTACGATATATTGTGAGATGTTGACTGTTGATCCATGCTGTAAGAAGGATTTGATCTACAATTTGTTAAGATTATTGAGATGTACTGAAGAGGATCTAAACCGAGATCGAAACGTCTACGGAATCATGTAATTGGATTTACCAAGTTGGAATAAATTGCACAAGTAAAAACCAGTGTTGGCTTGTATAGGCTTATTTTCACATTAATTCTTGTTAGTGAATTTCATTAATTGTCTTGATTTATTTCGATTGAGCCTTTGTATGTGTATATATTTTATTTATAAAATATTTAAAAAATACAAAACATAAAAAACTATTATTACCTCAACATCAAATTGCTTTAAACCATCTGATATAGCGGTCCACACTTTGGTTTTCTTTTTTGGATTATCCAGCATATGCAGATTTGCCTCGTACAAACTAAGAACTGCCAGTGTTGAGTGTTTATTCCACACAGCATCTGTGTATAACAAATCCTATCAGTAATTATTTACAATATTTATTTTGATATTATTCATATAAAACAGCAATTAAAGCAAGAGAAATATTTAGAAAAAATGTACTCTGTGGTAACAGGAAAAACAATGTAACATACTTGATTTTTTGGTGTCGTTTTTTTCTGATAGCATCATTTCATTTTCTAACGGATTATCTTCACTTATCATATAACATTGATTATTGTCAGCATCTTCTATTTTAAAAAGTGTTTGGTTCGCATCCATAAAAACATCTTTTCCAATAAAACATCTATGTTGTGGAACCACATCAAATGACTCAATCATTTCCTTGCAATGTTTGCAAATAAGACTATCTGTAATTCGTACAATTATAAATATCACTAATTTACCATTTTAATATATACAATTAGCCTAAATAAATTATTAAATAAATACAATACAAAATTATTGTTTGTTTAAATACGGTTGAATGTAAATCGTAATATTAAATATTTGTTTATTACCGTTTGCTCTTGAGAATGTGTTGCTAAAAACATTGGTTGATGATTCTGTTGGAATTTGGCTACAAACAATGGCAGATGATTCTGTTGGAACTTCCACCGGTGTACTTGAAAAACGACCATAAGTATTAAAAATAGGATATATTGAAATGAATAACAAGTTTGGTATGACACGTCGCTCGAAACTGTCAATGATAAACTTGCCAGATAAAATTACTTATTACTTACTAATCTATATCATCTATTGATTTCCACAGGAATTTTATTTTCTCTTTTCGATTTGTTTCCATATTTGAAACGAATTTGTAAAATTCATTATCAAACTCTACATTAACATTAAAATTATTTGTAATTATATTATACAATGCGTTGTATATACATATAATATTTGCATATTATAGTACAGTTCTTTCTACTTACTTTTTAATCGTACGTAAGTACTTGTTTTTAAATCCGAAATTTCAATCGGATCATTGTCGTTAATTCTAAACCACATCTTGAATCTTCTCTGATCTTCACCTTCTACAAATAATAAAAAATATTGATAAATTATGAGAAAACATGCTGCTAGTGTGAATAGATATAAATATAATGGAATAAAAATCTTACTCCTTTCGCTAGCCATGTCACTAAAATGAAAATATTGGGTGCTTTCCACCTACGACACAAATCTAACGTACTGTAAAATCCAATAAGTATTCCTCTTCTCACCATCTACGAGCTATTTATGGTTATGTTACTTTTAAGTTTAACCTGATGTCCCTACAAAACACGCTATTATTTTTTCAATGGTTGGTACTTCTAGCGACACAGCACGGTAAAACTCATCTTTTCGCCGTGTCGAGTAGTGTGACACCGTGTCGTTGCTGGAACGCTCAAAACCGAACACTGTGTAACACAGTGTCGCCTGTGTCGATAGGTGGAAAGCACCCTATGTATATCACTATTAGCGTTTCTTGCGTATTGCGTAATAATTGCGTAAAGAATGTCAGAAGGATACGAAACTAGCACTCCTTGCGTAAAGAATGTCAGACGGACACCAAAGGAATGCGCGGAATGTGGTCGACGACAATAATGACAATAAGGACGACATATCTGAAAAATGAACTGAAAAAGTTCGGAATTTTGCGTTGCAATATCTCCGCTCGTAGGACACGTAGAAAAAAAATAAAAGCAGTTTTATCATACAATCCGTGTGGTGGCTATCGATTGAGCATACATAGAACGCGATCGGTTCAGCCGTTATTGAGATCTGATAATCTCGATCTACCGCAACTCGTCGGTTCGCGTAAAGGAGGCACGGCAGTGTCGCTTCGCGCAGCTTAGGGCCGAGACACTACCAGTGTCTCCAGATGAAAAACAAAATTTTGTTCGGCTACAAAAAATAGTAAATATGACAAAAAACGCTGCTTTTGACTCATTTTACTCGATTTATCTGAAAAACCCGACTTAATGGGCATCTGACGGATTTGGATTCAGCAATCTTGAATCTATTAAGAAATGCGAGTCGTAATCGTTGTAAGAAAAAAAGGTCAATTTTTGTCGGACAGTATTATCAATCAAAATTACGTTAAAATGTTACAAAATTCTATAAATATATATTTAATTTTTATTTGTTTAATTTTTCAAATGCTAATAAACATTAGCTAAATGTCGCGATTTATGATGAAAACATATCTTAAAGATCCATTTAATTAATTACATTCCATAAATACAAATATTAAAATAAATCAGTTTCTAAACTATATTAAAATATAAAATATACATATATATCTTTTTTCCTATTTTACTTTTAATGGTATAATTATTATTTCCAAGAAGAAATTACGCGTTCTGTCAGTGCAATCATTTTATCCAAACAGTGGAAATACAAATATTTAGCACCCCACAGTAACGCATTAAGACTAGAAATTATTTTTAATATTAGAAGAAAGACTACATACCAATGGAAGGTCTTACAATCGCACAAGACAAGGAGGAAGAATAATCTTGTATTACCTTTTCCGATAGATTTTTTGAAAAAATATATGTATTGGGTGCATAGTCTAAACACCTGTACATAATTTTAAGTGCATGTAGATTTAAAAATTTGAATATGATTAAAATCTTAGAAATAAAGCAAAAAATTCTAGTATTACATATGTATATAATGTATAAATAATAGATTTTTGTTTGTAACTTACTTAGCCGTAAAAATGTTTAAAATATGCTCATCTAAAGTTCCGACTATTTCAATTATCTTTTGCCAATCAGCTATTGGCAAGTACGCTTTTTCATCTACAAATGGTTCATTCGCATGTGCAAATGCTGTACTAACGTATACTAATGCCTTTATAAAAACAATTAATAAAAAAATTACACTTTAAAAATTCTTTTTAGTTTTTATATTAGTGATAATTAATTCTGTATTATCAATTTTAAAATACCAAAATTAGGATAAATATTCTTTCAAATTTATTATATTTTAAATGTTATTATAATATTCTGTCTGTACGTATATAATTGTATATACAATTAGAACTTATATTCAGTACAAGTATACCGACGGTTGTCGGTATCATTAAGTAGCGACAGCCAATGAGAATAGCGTTTTTTTTTCTAGGATAACCTTTGCCGTTGGTTATCGTTAGTTATCGACACCGACAACTGTCGGCAGACGTGTATAAAATATCGACTCAGGTTGGGAAAGTTATACTTTATAAAAATAACTATAGTTACAATCAGAACAAACAAAAAAATTATATAACGTTTAAACCAATAAAAGAATTATACTCAAACTTTATATAATTACTCAGACGTAATAATAAAACAATCTATGAATTTATAAATTTATATATTTTTGCTTTGAAATGGAACAAACACATTTCTTGTTAAAATTGAAAAGTACACAATGATTTGTGTTTTTGAAAAATATTTAAATAAAAATAAAAGTTGTTATATAAATTGTGTGACATGGGATGAGTTATTTAAATGTATAATCTTAATTACTCTCTGACTTACGATTAAATTCTTCATACTTTTTGCTAAAATACAAATATCTCTTGTTGCTCTTGTATTAGCAAATATGGCATACTTTAAACTGTTATTGAATCTCACATTCGCGGCTGCATGAATTATTATCGTCACTCTTTCAACTAGCATTTGTTTGTCCGTAGCCGACAAACCTAATCCCTTCTCACTGACATTACCAGAAATTGCAATTAATTTCTCAAAATTGGAAGATCGTTCCTCGCGCAATTTTTCAAATAGCTAAAATAGAAGGGCGTTATAAATTGTAAATCGTTTCCGTTGTACTTAACAATAATTCTGACATATTTTTAATAAATTTCTTATAAAAAATAAAATATTTAATTCTTAAAACTAATGCATTCCAATATTTTATATTTTACTATTTGAAAAATTTACAAACATTCTTCCGAAGAATAATTATTTTCAGTGATAACGTTGCAATAGTATTTAAAAAGTAATTCTTTCTTTCAAATACTTATTTAAAATCGTAAAAATATCTTAACTATTTTAAAGAAGTGCGTTTTACAAAAATTCCTCTTTATATATCTAACTTACTGGTAAGTTTAATATTTTGTCGAGCCTTTCTTTAATACTTAATCCTTTCTTCGGTCGCATTAACAGAAATATTTCACGAACATCTGGACAAGATCGTAATATCTTTTCGATAAAAACTTTACCCAGAAATCCTGTTGCACCAGTCAAAAGTATACTTTGTCTAGCGTAAAATGCAGGAATCGACTTGGCTGGATCAACAGTCATTTTGTCCATTACTTTTAAAATAAAGTTGATAGAAACACTTAGCAATATAAAACGTATAGGTAGTTGTATTCGATTGTCACCTTTTATATGTCGATAAATATTTGTAAAGTTGGAAACAACGCTTATATGTAAAATTGATTACTAAGCAGAATTTAAATTATCTTTGTTTTATAGCCATAAAATTATGAAATTGTGTTATCAATGCTTTTAACAAACCGGAAATGATTATAACTGCGCAATCTAAGGTTGAAAGAGCAAGTAAATGGTATATATAGTTGTCTTTATTCACCGATCGGTAGCGTCGCTACGGCAAGTGCATAAAAATATAAAACGGACTGCTTGACCGCTTGTTGTGTGAACGTCATTGCATATATGTTTATGTTGTGCAGTAATATATGCAGCAGTAAGTTTGATATGTTATTTATTAACTTATTTATTAATTATAATGGAAATATCATGCACAAATTGAGATGATTCTAACTTCTAACCAAAGTATTTATAATAATATAAACTAAGACTCAAATAATGAAAAATTCTAATAAAAGGCTACGAGTCGTAACAGGATGGTAGTTGTTAATAATTAAAAATCATTGACATCTAATACATATGAAATACAAACGTTTCAACCCTTATCGGGTCATTTTCAGTGTCGTACAATATTGATCCGCAATTTAATAATTCTGCAAAACCTTCAATCTTCAAAGTATTCACACTATATTAATTTTTCCAATAATTATAGATGGTATATCTTGACAAATCAAAAAGTGTCTCATTAAAATTATATACTTGAAAACAAATATTTCATATAAATGTTATAGTTATATTAATAGATTAAATGTAATTTTTTACATTTTCCTCCTGACCGAAGAGACCACCACCTTCTTACGGTTTCCGCCGAGCAACAATATGTACGTACATTAATAGAAACTTCAATAAAAGTGAAAAGAATAAAAAACTGTAAAGTATAATTCAATAGTAAATCCTGGCTGAGGTAATATTTTTCGCAATAAGTTCTTTACTAAATTAATTTAGGAGGGATTATTTCATATATAGGAGTGTTCGAATGTTTCGGCGCCTCATCGTATTACATTATTAACATCTCGGATTGATTGTGGTTAACGTTCGAACGGCGCACAGTCACATCTGAGATAATTAAATTTAAAAATTAAGAATTTGTATTGTATTTATAATATCTAACTTTAACTTATTATTGGCGTTTCTTGATATTTATCAATAGTAAATGTTCAAATATCGTTTAAAGTGCCAAGGATAATTTTTCATACTTTTTAAATATTTGAAAGCGTACATGTTGGCCAAGAGTGGACTGCTGTACATACACATACACACAAATTTTAATCGTATATTTATAAATTTTGAACATATTAAGATGCCTCTTTCACACACATTAATCTATTATTCATTGACACAGGTAACAGAAGTCGCACCAGTGCGTGATAGTTTACGAAATATTGTTACAATTTTCTCCGTGTGGGCTATATTTATATATCGCATTTGTAAAATGCAATTAATCGGTGTGACTGAACAAATAAAGTACGCTGACAGAGTCCCACGAGCGAATCCTGCTTTCTTTTTTTTTGTGCTATATTTTTCCGATATAAGTAGTTAAATTAATTATCAATAAATGTATAAGGTTAAACAATATGTTCTTATATAATTATTGCAATTATTCATGTACTTTTAAATTAGCAACTGTAGGAAGAATAATGATTCTTGACGTGTATGATATGCGGCAAACTTAATGATGAAAGGTTTTTATATATATATGTAAATTAAATTTATTTTCCTTTAACGATCCAAAAAAAAATTATATTTTGTAATGATATTGCGCCTATCAAATGATGCGCTTAGTGTTGATCGATACTTCGTTTTAAATACTTTTTTGTAACTATCATCCGAACTTATATGTATTTCTGATAATAAAGAAAATTACAAAAGCGAAATTATATTTCTATAATTATAAAGATGATGCCAATGTAAATTTGTGAAATGTACAAAATACGTAAATGCCTTTATATGTGCAATTTTAAAATAATTCCTTGTCTATTGAAAAACGAATTCTTCCTACAGTTGTTACAGGCACACACGAATAATTTCAATCATTACGTGAAAATGTATTTGGCTTAATATGTTTACTATTAACGTCTACTATTACAGTTATCTCAGAAAAATCTATGAAAAAAAGAAAAAAATCAGCTTGATCACGCCAACTATTAGGTGTAAACTTATTTCCTGCCGTTTTTCGTCTCCAAAATTAATTTGTTTCGAAGGAAAATACCTTAATCAAAGTATTATTAATAAAGTATTATTAATTAGTAATAAAGTAGAAAATGGAGGAAATTACTTTGATTAAGGTATTCATTTAAAAAAATTGCAAAGTTCTGTTCACAATAGCGTTAGGAATCACTCATTGACTATCATTGACAATTTACTCTCATTTAAAACCAAGAATACGTTGATATATGATAGGTTGAATCGTTTAATGAATCACACGAGACATTTTATCAAGGAGAACAATAACATTATTTTTACGAAAGCGGATAAGGGTAACATCACGGTGGCATTAGAAAAAACCTCTTACATCGAAAAAATTAGATCCATACTTTCGGACGAGGAGACTTATTTAAAAATTACAAAAAATCCTAGTAGTAAGATTAATAATGGCTTGAGGACGCTACTTACAAGATGGAAAAAATCTAAATTTATATCAGATCTAACATACAAGAAACTTTATTGTAGTGATGGCAATCTGCCCAGAGCATACGGATCTCCGAAGGTTCACAAGCCTGATTGTCCTTTCAGAATTATAGTGTCTGCGGTTGACAGTACGTTGTATGATTTGGCTGCGTTTTTACATCGTTTGATCGTCGAGAGTGTACCAGAGGCTCCGAGCCATGTCAATAATAGCTATGATTTGATTGGAAAACTGAAAAGCATTAAAATCAAATCAGGATACAGCTTAGTATCGTT